GCAGGCATGCAGCTTGTTTTAGCAAAAAAAAAAGAAAGAAAAGTAAATGCATGAAGCATGGTTCTGCGGCTCGGCGTGATTAGCAACTTCCGGCCATAGCAGTCTCATGACATTATGTTGTTGTTTTTCTCTTGATTGCACCTTCGCTTTAATCTATATATCTTCAGAAAGTTTGTAATAGACGTGTCAATTATTCCCAAGAATAGTAGGATCACCAAGTCAATGGTTGCAAACCAAACGGAAGTCTGTTTTTGCCAAAATTTTGGACATTGCAATGGCTACAATCCAAACAGCCATGCCTTGCCAGTTTTTTGGTCATATGCCCTGGAATTGGTCTTGCCAATTTTTTGGTAGGGCAAGATTGGGCTCAATCCAAACAGCCCCTCAATCCTCACCGTTAGCAACATCGGACGCCTGGGATCCTTCCACCCCACCGATCCGCGCCCTCGCCTCCTCCACCAATCACACCCCCGCAAACCCCTCTATAAATTCAATTCCCATCTCATCCCACCGCAAGGCACCACCAGCGCTCTCCGATCATCCTCCTCCTCCTCCCCGCCGCAACCAGCCACCTCTCGATCCGTCCGTGATGGCGCCCAAGGCGGAGAAGAAGCCGGCGGAGAAGAAGCCGGCGGAGGAGAAGGCGGAGAAGGCCCCCAAGGGGGAGAAGAAGCCCAAGGCGGAGAAGCGGCTGCCGGCGGCCAAGGAGGGCGGCGGCGGCGGCTCGGACAAGAAGGCCAAGAAGAAGGCCAAGAAGAGCGTGGAGACGTACAAGATCTACATCTTCAAGGTGCTCAAGCAGGTGCACCCCGACATCGGCATCTCCTCCAAGGCCATGTCCATCATGAACTCCTTCATCAACGACATCTTCGAGAAGCTCGCGCAGGAGGCCGCCAAGCTCGCCAGGTACAACAAGAAGCCCACCATCACCTCCCGCGAGATCCAGACCTCCGTGCGCCTCGTCCTCCCCGGCGAACTCGCCAAGCACGCCGTCTCCGAGGGCACCAAGGCCGTCACCAAGTTCACCTCCTCCTAGGCGCTTCGTCCCCCGCCTTCTCTCGGCTCGTCGTGTTTGATGATCGTCCTGGGCCCAGTGATCGAGGCTCGTAGTTTGTAATTGTTTTCTTTTGTTACAATGAACAATGGATGAATGGAATCGCTACGGATTGGTTGCAATATTTCGTCTCAATTTTCGTTCGATCGTTGTATCAGAAAGAAATGAAGTTAAAGAAAATGATCTGTGGATCGTGTGGCCGGTGTATAATTAGCTAGTGGTGTTGTCTTCCGTAGGATTGAGGAATTCCTTCAGGAGGCCGCCGGGAAGGTCGGATCCGTAGAGGTGCCCCATCTTGGTCCTCTTGGTCTCGAGGTATTTCTGGTTCTCCTTGGTGATCGGCGAGATCACCGGGACCCGGCCCACCACGGCGAGCCCGTACCCCTTGAGCCCAACGAACTTTGCCGGGTTGTTCGTCATCAGCCGCATCGTGCGCACGCCAATGTCCCTAAGAATCTGAAACGACAGCAAGATCACCACCATCAATCATCAAGAACACACCAATCCTTCCCAAGAATGTTAAATCCGCCATGAAGAATTCAAGTACTACCTGGGCGCCTATGCCGTACTCGCGGGAGTCAATGGCAAGGCCGAGCTCGACGTTGGCCTCCACCGTGTCGCTTCCTTGGTCCTGCAGGTTGTAGGCAAGGAGCTTCTGGCCGAGCCCAATGCCCCGGCCTTCATGTCCGCGCAGGTACACGAGGACGCCACGGCCGGCCTTCTCGATCAGCTGCATCGCCAGGTCCAGCTGCTCGCCGCAGTCGCAGCGGGCGGAGCCCAGGATGTCGCCGGTCAGGCACTCTGAATGCACCCTCACCAGCACGTCTTCCCCGTCGCCGATATCGCCCTGCACATTTGCACCAAACCAGCCGGAGATTGATAAACTGGAAACAACTGGAATCGCACAATCAAACGAGTGGCTCATAGGTTTCTGCCAGAGAAACAGAATAAGAATTCCATTACCTTTGCAACAGCGATGTGCTCAGTTCCGTCCAGCTTGGATTGGTAGCAGTAAGCGCGGAAGAGGCCCCATTTAGTAGGCAAACGAGATACAGCGATCAGTTCCACCAGTTTCTCCCTTTTCCTCCTGTACCTGAATTTACAACAACATGCTGAAATGAGATCTCTTCTCAAAAGGGATATCTGCGACACTGTAATTATCCTAACATAGCCACATCTCATTTCAATTATCTATATTATCTTGGAGAGGAAAACAGGCTATACTAGCTAATGTCTAAACTGTAAAACAGAACAAAACAGGCTGTAAGTTCACAAAGGCTTCACCTTAAGGTATACTAACCGGATGAGATCAGTGATCGAGACAATCGGGATATCATGCTCCAAAGCCATCTGTTTCAGCGCCGGTGTTGATGCCATCGAACCGTCCTTCGGGTCGATGATGGTCGATAGAACTGATACCGGGCGCAAACCGGCCGATGCGACAAGATCCACCGATGCCTCGGTGTGGCCGGCTCTTTTCAGCACGCCTCCGTTCCGGTACTTGAGGGGGAATATGTGGCCTGGCCTTCTGAGGTCACTGGGCTTGGAGTCAGGGGAGGCTAGAGCAAGGATGGTCTTTGCCCTGTCTGCAGCTGATACACCAGTGGTTATGCCCACTCTGGCGTCCTGTATAGATAGGAAAAACAATGCTTCAAGTTACTTTCTTAAGTAAGGATTACAAACCTCATCAATCAGTGATTGTATAGTCCCTGCAACAAAGGTTATTGATCATAAGATTTTTACCACTGTCGCTGTGGAAGCAGCAGCTGAAATGTCGCCAATTTCTGTGACCGGAGACATCATAGGAAGCATCAACCTTTCTAGGTCCTCTTCCTTCATGCCCACTGAGATGATGCCGGAACCATTTCTGATCATGAATGCAATTGATTCTGGGCTGGCTTGATCGGCTGCCATGATAAGATCCCCTTCATTGTCACCCTTCTCGTCATCTACGGCAATAACAAACTGGAGAAGAATGAATAGTTAACCTTGTAACTAAAGTCAACTATGTTTGAAAAAGGTGATAATTCATTTGAAGGCCCTGAATTTTGAAGCAAGCAAATAAACTGCTACATGAAAATGCAGTATAATGAATATCACGATACTGACACTGTTCATCATATAATTTTGATTACAGCAATCACCTTGCTCACTGGCGATGTGAAAAAAGGCAGTCATTCAGACAGCCTTGATAGTCCAAGCATAGCTTTAGAGCCTGCTTTACATGAAGGTGCTCAATTACTCGTAGTACAAGTTTACAGCTACGGTATCTTGGGAGAATAGGCAAGTGTGATTCATTCATCTTGTCATCTACAAGATGAAATGAAATAATGGAGGCTGGAAGGTAGTACAGTTCGGCATATCTTTAAGCACCGCAAAAAAAAGATGGCATGATCAAGCAGGGTCTATGTACAAGAGTTGCATGAATCAAACTATTTGTGTTCAGAAAATCAGGAATTTCTTTTTCCCTACCTTTCCCTCCCGCAGCGAATTTATTGCATCCTCGATCGAGGAGAAACCCTCCGTCGGTTTATCCGGGTCACCCTCAGCATCACTACTAAAGAAATCTCCTGTTTCTTGAGTGATTTCAGCACCAACAGTTGTGAAGGAAGCACTGGACCCGTTTAGTTCTTGCGAAATGGGCCCATTCTTGTTCTCGTTCAAAGGATCATTTCGACGCCCTGCATCACCAATTGCATAGCACCTTAATCTTAAGCATCCCTTTCTGATAACTGCAAATCCTATACTGTTGAGACTAACAGAGCATTGCTGAAGCCTGCAGGAATCCAAAGTCAGCACAGATGGCAATCACAGAGAAAATTCACGAAATTCTTCGTTCCCGGCAAGATCTTCAGCGACAGAGGAAAAAGAAAGTAAGAATTTTACCTTGCGTTAACAGTGGCATGGGACGACAAGTGTGAGCTCAGAAGAACGCAGTCCATCTGGCGATCCCCGTTAACCGATCTCTGGAAATCAGCTCCAAAATATGTTTATATACCTCTATCGCTTGTACCGCTGCGATGACTCTCAGCCTATCGCTTGGACTTATCTGGTCATGTGGATAACAGAAGAAAAACTCACGCAATGTGTAGCCAGACTGGCCACATGTTTCTGAGCTGCAAGATAGAAGCAGCCACACGGTTCAGGTGATGCCAAGATAGCACACCTTTTTTTCCTTCATTCTTTCGGTTTGGGTCTAGTTAAGGGTCAAATGCTAGTAGATGTTGCACCTGAAAATGACAGGCAAACTGTACCCCTTAGCTTGAAATTTTGGATGTTTTCTCCCGAATACATATAAACGTCTCAGGTCAATGCACTTATTTTTTCACATGAAGCATCGTCGCGGGTCACATTAACAGAATAGAGGTTCAGGTGTCCCAGTAAACAAAAGGACTCAGGTTAAAACTTCTTCAGTTGCAAAACTGACCGCCTCCCCTTTCTGAGGTACAATATGGTCACAGGCTCACAGCATTTGCCTACGGTTTACTGAATAAGAAGGTAAATGAGGCTACTGAGCTCAACGATTTGGTAGGCTGCCTGCGCCTCGAGGGTGGCTGAAGGGAGAAAGAACGTAAACTGATCAGAGAGGGAGCTCAGCTTCCTCGAGATCGTAAGACACCATTTGGAATTCAGGATCAGTTCCGAGTCTTAACCATACGAATTCAGCAAAACAGAGCAAAGTGCCAACATGGCCGCATTGCATCTTCATATCATGGGATTATGGAAGTTTCAGGATACCCAAGGGCGACAAAAAAACTTCGTCGGGCATTGCCAACATGGCCACATCGAAGCTATGATATGAACATGACAAAGTCCACCCTGTCAATGATCGGTACGCATGAACTCTTAACACATCAGCAACAATTTCTAGTCACAACGATCCTTGACAAATAATATAGATATTATGTGGAAACACAAGTTTTTAGTCTCTTACAGAATGGATCTCCTAATTAGCATGTCTAAAGATAAAAAAAACCTCACAAACATAAAATAAAGATAAACGATGCTTTTGGTTCTCATAGCCCTTCTGTTTTAGAGTTCTGGCTAACTTTAGGCCCTGCCCACTGTTGGCTGGCACAGGACTTGGTCCATGCATCAAGAGGGGCACGCTGGGGAGGCGGTGGAGTCGCAGGTTTGGCCTCTCGAAGTTCATTCTCCCGGTCGACAAACCTGTGTATGACATTGGCAACAGATGTTGAATTCAATCTCACCACGGCATATAGTTTATTTCTCTGCTGCATTGTGGCAATGTTCTTTATTAAAGTCGGTTCATTTACCAGAGTGAGAGAGATGGGAAAACAATTTTTTTTTCATGTCATAACATCACCATTTCTTTGAAAAATATTTTTTATAGGCAATTTCAGACCTCAATCTAATTTTATTATACAATACGAATACAAAAGAGAACTAACTGGAACCATGTAGTGGAAGCACACTACTTGAATGTGAAGACTAAAATATACTCAACACAAACAGTGCAAATATTTTTTTTGAAAATTAAACTATGATTTTGTGCAGTAAGGTATATGAGTACAAACATACTCGATGTAAGCCATTGGTGCAGCATCGCCAATTCGTATCCTGGTTCACAATAGTCTTGTATACCCACCAGCTCGATCCCTAGATATAAGTAGAAAATAACAAAGATACATAAGATGTAGCTTGAGAGGTTCTTTTGAGCATGCTAACCAGACCACAATAAAACCAACCCATACATAACATAGGTAAAACTTACTTGTAGCGGTACGCAAGCTCTGTGAATAACTTGTGAACAACATCATCACCCCGAACAAATGCCGAGGCACGTCTTGCTGCATCTAGTGTACCCTATACAATGATAGAACATTCATCAATATAGCAGCAATGGAAGTTTCATGAGAAAGAGCTACAGAAATCATGCACTATATCTGGGCATGAGCATTTAAGTCAAGGGAGTAGAGACACTCCTGGAATGTGGAATGATATAATTTTGAAGTACACATAAAAAATTTCTGTATCTGAAACCTATTTCGCGTTGACTTCCTCGTTAAGGGGTGACATTCAGATTTGTGCGAATTCATTTCGTATGATCACCGCTGTAACATCACTGACAAACAGGGTATCCTTGAATCACATACTGACTTCTTCATGAAAGCAGATTCCGTGAAGTTTCACTCGTACTTGCTTAAACAAAAGAATGCTAACACTTAATATCCACTCAGGTAGTCGAAACCTCAACAATCTAACAAGTTTCCATGAGAAGCCACAACAGGAAACAAGAAAACTCATATAAGACAACCGCATCACATTATTAGGCGAAGGGTTTCGATGCATAAGCCAATATGTCCAGATCATGACATTTCCATCCGAATTCGGCATAGCGAGTATGAGCACCAACCATGAATGGAGTCCTACACAGCTAGTAGCGCAAGATATGATGAACCTGCGAGGACAACCTGTCCATCTAATCAAGATGGCTGGTTTCATTACACCACTCAAGTAAACTAAACATAAATACGCGCCACTAAACAATCCAGTATACTGTCAAATTCAGTAGTGCAGGCCGCAGGTGGCGATTAGTGACTACTGAATAGTGAATACTGGTAAATGGCTCAAGGACGTACATATTTGCCGAGCTGCACCATCTGATCCGCCTTCCGCCGCACCTCCTTCGCCTGAAATGGACAGAAGCAACACATAAAAAAAGACCGAAATTCCCTGGCGCAGAAACCCTGCACTCCTCCCACCGCAAGGTGTTCGACGAAATGCCGGAGTAACATGAGGCAGGAAGCTACCTTGGCGACGGTGGTCTCGATCCGCTCGTGCTTCACCAGCTGCGACACCATCGTCCTGCGGCGAGAGGTCGGGATGGGGCGGGGAGAGAGGTGGCCATGGCCCGTGGGGTCAGGGAGAGAGCGAGAGTGAAACGTAAACAAAAGGCAGATGAGTGAGCGACAGGGACGGAGAGATGGATACCTGAGCATGGAGACGCGGTGGGCGGCGTGACGGCCGAGCTTGCGGAAGTTCCCCATGGCGGCGGCGGCGGCGGCGGCGGCAGGAGCGGAGACTGGCCGGCGGTCAGCGATCAGACGGGTCTGCCAGGCTCCGTTTGTCTGGTTCTGACTGTGTGCTTCAGTTATGGGCCTCCAGGGCCCAAAATTAGGACGTTGTTTAGGCCACAATTTCTAACAAGGCCTGTGCTATTGTACAGCCGCTTTTCTAAAAAAAAGGTTTTCTCTAAAAAAACAAAAAATAAGTGTAAGACTATTTGCTCTCACTCCACATCCACTACCATCACATTGATTTGCAACTCTGGAAATTGAATCACTTCAAAAATAATTGGCAGTTGAATTGAACAAGCAGCTTAGGATTATCACACTGATTTGCAACTCTGTACTCTGGAAATGAAAATTAACAGGGGTATTTACTAGTATGCTTCTAGCAACCAAAGTGGAAGAGCAATAAAAGTTGTTTGATATTGTTTTTTAGCTGCACAAATAGTCCCGTACTTTTTTTTTTCATACATTAAACAATCTGTTGTTTGATATTGTTTTTTAGCTGCACAAATAGTCCAGTACTTTTTTTCACACGTTAAACAATCTGTCATATTTTTCTCAAATGTCATAACCATGAGTTGCGCAACGTCTTCATTCCAATTCAGTAAATATGATAGAGATCACCAGTCTGCTAGTAGTACAATAAATTGCTGTTCCAAAGGCAATCAACCCCCAGTAATCTGCTAGTAGTATAGTAAGTTCGCTGTTCATCTCAGCCAAGTCTCCACAACTGCAGCAGCTGCAAGATCCCCAGGCAACCTGCTTGCCCACCGAATTTTGCGAAACAATGGCAGCTGAGTTGAACCTATTTCTTTCACGCCCGTTTCTTCATGCCCGCTTTTCCCAGCTTGGACTTGCGCTGCTTGAACACATGCAGGTACAGCTTCAGCCACAGAAGCGGATAGCACAGCAGCACACCCTGTCACCGCAGTTTGCCGGTAAGTAATCAAGTGAACATTATGATAAAACAGAAGCAGCAGGGGTGCAGGGTGTATCCAGTCTCACTGATCCGACATCGACGTACCACAAGAAATGAATGGTAGCTCATGGAGAACTTAGCAAAGAAGCCTGAGTAGAGGTCCCTCTCCTTCACAAATGGAAGAGCTTGGTACATAGTCCACACTGCATGCAGATATAGCAAGGAGAGTAGAGCAGCACAACAGTGGATTATCAGATTAAGGAAGATTGTTTTTATGGGCACAATGTGGTGCGAAAGAGTTTCTGAGCTTACTTTCTCCTGGTCCTACCCCAATTGGATACAGTGGGATAAAGGCAGTGTACCTACAGGTAGGAAGTTGTTTGAGATAAAGCTGTATCTGAGAACTGAGGTGCAATGGTGGTCTGAAAAACCAGAGGGGAGCAGAAAAAATTGTGAACTGGAAGTAATTCACATAGGATATGACTATTTTACAGTAGGCAATCCATTTTATAATCGCAAATAAAAGAGATTCTATGTACTAGTTCTTTCAAGAAATAATGAGGTCTTCTTCTAATCAGTTGAGTTTACGCCGTGAGTATACTTTAACATGTTTGCACCGAGCAATGACTCATAAGATAGGGCAGCATTTATAATGAAAACAAAATATAAATGTGAGGATTGACACTGCTAAGCGATGGAACCTGAGGTAAGTCATCCATGCTGGACAAACTTTTAACGTAGTCAGAGCATAGTGAGAGTATCGAATGACCTGCAACATGACAACAACATATTAAGCGTGGTTCAAAAAAGTGGACCTTACGAACTACTCCCTCCGTTCCTAATATAATTATTTTTAGAGATTTCAATAGAGACTACATACGGAGCAAAATGAGTGAATATATACTCTAAAATATGTCTATATACATTCGTATGTAGTCCGTATTGAAATATCTAAAAAGACTTATATTTGGAACGGAGGAAGTATATCTTGTGAAGATTCTGAATAAGGGCCATTTTTCTACCACTAATTATTCCTAAAGATACCACATGCTACTATGCTTGCTCATCCGTATTTCCTCAAAAGGTAATCGCCGGTCTATTTTCTCTTAACAACTGAACATAATCAGGTTAACACATTGAGAAAAAAACTTTATGGACAGAACAACCCTTCACAATGACACTTTTTTGAACACACTCTTCACAATGACACCATTAATGCTGACATTAATAGCAAATTAGCTTAGCAACAGATATATGGGTTCAGAGAAGAATCAAAGTTGTACTCCCTCCGTCCGGAAATACTCGTCGGAGGAATGGATGTATCTAGATGTATCTTAGTTTTAGATACATTCATTTTTATGCATTCCTCCGACAAGTATTTCCGGACGGAGGGAGTATATTAACATGCTTTCAGAACAGTAACTGATAAAAAGTGAGAAAACGAGAAGTGATTCTGCCACACACCTCAGATATGCTCCAAGCCATAAACGTTATGAACACAGAGAGACTGCCCTGAACCTGCATTTGCAATAGCAGATTGAACTTATCAGCCAAACTCTACAGAGCTGAAATATAGGACGAGCGAAGGAACTTGTTAAGGCCGTTGGTTGGTGCGTTCAACCCACCTCAGGGATTTGCCGGAGAAGGGCGAGGATGAAGTGAGTCCTCCCTCCCCATTGCAGGAAAGCAAGAAACGGCGAGGTGGGCACCAATCCTGAACAACCAAAAGGGCCAACGATGCAGAGTCAACTCACATCGCCAAAAGGGGAAAAACCAGGAGAAGACGAAATTAAGCCTAGCTAGCAGTGCATCCTCTCACCGACGGCGGCATGGACGGTCTCAAGAACCGCGCAGGTCTGCAGAAAGCCTACAGAGACGGCAAGAAAATGTGGAGAAGAAGTTATCAGTCCACACCACACGAAATTCAGAATTCAGATGAGAATAGAAATTAAGGGGAGGCGGGAGGGCGCACGCACATATGAGGTCGCCGGCGGCGGCGTACGCGGGGCGGACGGAGACGGGAGGGGCGAGGCAGGGGAGGAGACGGAGCAGGGCGACGGACCTGAAGTTCGACGAGGAAGGGGACCGGGAGACGAATTAGTTAGTACGGGCGGGAAGGAATTAGGCGATTAGGGAATTCAACTGTTGCTGCTGCTGCTGCAGCTGGGAGGTGGTTTGGTTACCATCCGATGGCCTGCAGGGAGTTGTAGGCGAGGAGGTAGAGCCGCGACGGGCGGGCCATGGCCGCTGCCTTGCTTCCTTCTCGCCGCTGGCTGGCGAACCTCCCGAGGCGGGGAGACGCTTCGTGTTGGAACAGAGAGGGTTTGTCCTAGGATACCAGAAGTGGCTAGTATTGACGGAGTTCTGTGGCTGAGGTTCTGAGCCGTCGTCGCTCCTCGTCTGTACTCAAGTGGACGGGAGGAATGAAGAAGGGCGATGATGCCTTTTGGCATAATTTGACCAACAAATGGGTTGAAATTTGACATTACAGTTTCAGGGTATTTTTAAATCTGTTCGGTCAAATTGTGCGAAACCTTTCCAGAATAATAAATACTCCGTATATATTAGTGTTGATTGCAAACATGTTGTCAATAGCCACAACATGGGATACACCTTGCCAATGGCTTCTATTCCCCCTGTGCCAAATTGGTGAAGACAACTCAATGTTTGGACGATAACAAGAAATCTTACTTCACAAAGTGCCAAGAATCCACAAGAAAGGTTGTTGAGAGAGCTTTTGGTGTGCTGCAAAAATGCTTTGCAATTGTCTGTGGGTGCGGCATTTTAGCTCTCGGGTGCACCTGCACTCGTGGGTGAACATTAAAATGAAAATAATAGCAAAAAAATTCAAAAAAAAATTGATAGAAGATGTTTAAGTGCGTGATGTCCGTGCCAAAATTCATCGTGTCTGGACATCCGAGTAGCTCTCAACAAACAAGTTTGGATTTTGCCCGAACATCACGCACTCGAACATCTTCCATGCAAAAAAAGTTCGGATTTTTTTGATTTTTTTTCTATCTTTTTTTAATTTACTGTTCACCTTGTGCAGATGAGCCAGGGCTCATAATTGAATATTCATTGTTTGTGGCCTGTTGAGTGTTGAAACCCTAAGATACTATGGCATATCATGACAACATGTATATCTTACACAACATGATCATCAAGGATGATAGAGAAGAGTGGGAGAACTATCAATAAATCCATGGTGATCTCACGAACATCAACAAAAAAAACAAGATTCAGAGATTCCTCGCAGCCCATTGAAGGATCGAGGACCAAGAAGCTCGTCACTGTGACCATCTCCAAGATGGATCTTTTTGACCACTTGTGGGCAGTTCACGACAAATGATTGTTATTACTTCTATCATGTTAATTGGATTATTACCTCATTTGAACCGTATTGTGTGCTTGGATTTGAAATTTTAATTGTAAAAACATTGAGTTTTAAATGTTGTTGAAACATGTGCATTAGATTTATGAAGTTTGAATGAATATGTTGTTCAAATCTAAGTTGGAATGGAGTTCATATGCAAAAAGATGGAAGAAGTAACAAAGACAAATTTATAGGGGCTTTAGTTTCAGGAGAAGTGCTAGGTGCTACACATTATAGGGGTCGTTTGGGGAGTTAAGTTTTTGAGGAAGGGCTAAAAATGCTCTTAGGTCGGTTCAATGGTGTTGGGGATATAACTATTGAGTATAAACCGCCCAGGAGGGGCCGGTTTACCCTCAACCGTATTGAAGCCCATGAAGATTCAGAAGATGGCGTTTTACTATGAAGCTTAGAGGCCCGGATCCCAAAGGCGGATTAGGGCCCATAATAGCAAACCGCCATGGTTATGTAAACTTGTGTTGTAAGTTAGGAAAGGAGAGACCGAGCCGGACCCTTGCATGAGTCGGCCTCGGGACTCTGTAGACCGGCCGAGCGTCAACCTGTGTATATAAAGAGACGACCCGGCAGCGGTTCAGGGACAACAGACAACAACTCGAGGCTCAGGCAAAGCATATTTGCTCCCTGATCCTCGAAACCCAATCAATCCCATCACAACTAGACGTAGGC